TTTTTCAAAGACAAGGTTTCTCTGTGTAGCTTTGACTGTCCTGGAACTCGCTCTGTAGACCAGGCTGGCCTCGAACTCACAGAGATCCACCTGCCTCTGCCTCCCGAGTGCTGGGATTAAAGACCTGTGCCACCAGCACTCAGCTATCTTTTGGTTTTTGAGACAGGGTCTTGCTATGCCTCAGGCTGCCTGGAGCTCACTGTGTGGCTCAGGCTTTGCTTCCTGGATGCTGGGATTACAGGAGAGCACCATCGTGACTGTTTGTTAAGTTGTCTGTGGATGGGCGTGTTCATAAGGAAACACAGACTCAAAGATATAGGTGCATTTGTGTGATGTTTAGACTTAGTGAAGAACAGAAACTCATTTGTAGGGAAGTGCGGCTGGAGGGCAGAGAGGATTACCCAATGGTTGTAAGGGACCAGTTGAGTCGATTCCCAGCCTTTACCCTTTTAAACATCCTATTAAAGCCCTTATCCTTCCTTTCAAGGATGGGGAAGGAACCCGCTGAATGAAGGTCGACAAAGCGACATATTTTGAGGTCATATGTCCTGAGCGCCATCATTTCCATGCAAAGACTCAGACACCACGTGTCTGCGTCAGCTTTATTAATAATAACCAGACGGGTAGAACCCAACGCCCACTGTCCCTCAGCAGCTGAATGTATTTATGATGATGGTCTATCCATACAGTGCAGTGCTACCTGACAATGAAGATGAATGAGCCATGAATACATTCAACACCATGAATCTCGGAAACATGCTGAGTTCAAAGAAGCTAAACCCGGGCCAGTTTATGAGGCTCTTGTCTGGCATGCACGAGGGCCTGGGTTTAATCTCCAGCACTGGAAAAAAAGTTTGAAAGGAGTGGGATGAGAATTGCCTAAAGAGGCAATGGAGATGTTCTTTGCCCGGACTGTGACAGCCTTGTCTTGGTAAAATTCACGCAAGAATGAGTCTTATGGGGTGCCTTTCTATTTAATGTAGATTAAATCTCAATAAACTTGATTCTTGTTCTTTTTGTTTGTTTGTTTGTTGTTTCTCTTCAAGACAGGGTTTCTTTGTGTAACAGCTCTGGCTGTCCTGGAACTCACTCTGTAGACTAGGCTGACCTCGAACTCACAGAGATCTGCCTGCCTCTGCCTCCCACATGCTGGGATTACAGGCATGCACCACCACCGCCCTCCTTCGTTGTTATTTTGGTTTGGTTTGGTTTTTGGCTTTTTAAGATAGGGTTTCACTGTTTAGCTTTGGAGCCTGTCCTGGCACTTGATCTGTAGACCAGGATAGCCTCAGACTCACAGAGATCCACCTGCCCCTGCCTCCTAAATGCTGGGATTAAGGGTGTGCATCTCCATGCCTGGCCTAAATTGATGTTTTGAGTGTTTTGCCAGCATGTATGCCTAGGAAGGCCAGAAGAGGGTGTCATCACATGGAATAGGAGTACCAGATGCCTACACTGCCGTGTGGGTGCTGGGTATTGAACCTGGGTCTTCTGGAAGAGGAGTCAGTGTTATTAACCTCTGAGCCATCTCTCCAATTCCTTAAATTGATTTTTTTCCAAGTTAAAAAATATAGGCCACCTGGTGGTATAGTTCTCTCAGAGATATTTCCTATGTACAAGGTCCAGGGTTCAGTCCTCCGTGGCAGGGAAATATCCACACATGAAGATAAAAGCAGATTTCATTATATCAATATTATTCATACTTGTTCCACAGAAGATACCAGGAGCAAAGTTAACATATGGATGAAAGGTTGAAAGGAAACATTTTCAAGATCTAAACGCAACAAGATAGTACTTTTAAAAATTCAGGTACAATGAGATGGCCCAGTGGGGTCTGGTGGGTGGCTGCTGAGGACCTGAGTTAATCCTCAGGCCCCACATGGTGGAAGGAGACTCTTTTTTAAAAATAATCTATTTAGGGCTGGAGAGATGGCTCAGTGGTTAAGAGCTTTGCCTGTTTTTCCAAAGGTCCTGAGTTCAATTCCCAGCAACCACATGGTGGCTCGCAACCATCTGCAGTGAGATTTGGTGCCCTCTTCTGGCCTGCAGGGATACATGCAGGCAGAATACTGTATACATAATAAATAAAACTTAAAAAAGAAATGCCTTTAAAAAATCTATTTTTATTTTCCTAATAATTTATTTTTGTTCTATTTGCATTGGTGTCTTTACCTGCGTGTATGTCTGTGTGAGGGTGTCAGATCTTGGAGCTACAGACAGCTGTGAGCTGCCATGTGGGTGCTGGGAATTGAACCTGGATCCTCTGGAAGAGCAGTCAGCGCTCTTAACTGCAGAGACATCTCTCCAGCCCTGAGAATCAACTCTTGAAAGTGTCCTCTGGCCTCCACATATGTGTACATACCTTTGCACACTCTCACATATGTCATGCTTGCGTGCACACACATAACCACGAACGCACACACAAATAAATAATAAAATTCCTAGAACTAATAAGATAGGAAATCCGATTTTTTATAAAATGTGTAAAGAATGGGGCATGGTGGCGCACACTTTTAATCCCAGCACTCGGGAGTTAGAGTTTGAGGTCAACCTGTTCTACAGCAAGTTACAGGACAGCCAGGACTACACAGAGAGACCCTGTCTCACACAAAACAAAACAAATCGTTCACACCCCCAACTCAAAACAACAAAAATGGCAAAGGACACGAATCAGCAAAAACTGTGCAAACTCTTCGGGGCAGTGACGGCACACACCTTTAACCCCAGCAATTTTGAGGTAGAGGCAGGTGGACCTCTTGAGTTCGAGGCCAGGCTGGTCTACAAAGTGAGTTCCAGAACAGTCAGGGTTGTCTCACAGAGAAACCCTGTCTCAAAAACAAACAAACAAAACCAACAAAACTATGCAAAACTCAGACTCATTAATTGAGATATACATATTAAAGCACTATTTATCGAACTCAGCAGGAATCAATAATTTCTATTTTAAGTTGTTCCAGAAAGTAGAGTGGGGGAAGGGCACAACCCTCCATCGGTCTTCATTCATCACTAGGTCACTGTGAGGCCCCGTGGCCAGAGACAGATGAAGAAGGGAAGGAAACCCTGTTTAACACAAGTTTCAAAGTAACTTGGCTCTGTTGAGCCTCATTTTATTGCTACGTTTTTTATATATAATTTACATACCCCCCCAACACCTAACAAAAACAAAAGTCACTCTAGTGACGTGGGACAAGTTTCCTGAGTTGCGGAACTGTTACTGTAGTTCTGTTTCCGGTCATTTTCATCACCCCTGTGAGATTCTGCATGGCTCTTTCCAGCCAGTCCACGTCTGGAAGCCAACCCTTAACTGGCTTTCCACAGCTTTGCCTTTTCTGGTGCGGTCATATAACTGCCGTCATACCTCACGCAGTCTTTGGGTCTGGTTTCCTTCAAGTATCATGACATTTTTTGAGAGGACCGTTCTATTTTTATTCTCACTTTGTTTTCTTCTGGAACTCCTGGGACTGGTCAGTGCGTTCTGACCCTCTGCCTACCCGGTATAGCTGCACAGACTTCAGCGGGTCCCACTGAACCCAGTGACACAGACCTGCCCTTTGGCTCTTTCACAGGCTGACTTAACGAGAGCAATTTTGCGTGACATTTCCTTCTTTTGATGATAAAATTTTCTCACACTCATTCAGTGGCGGGAACAATCGGAATTGGGGCAGCCTTTATTCGGGGCGCCCTTTGCACGAATCCTTGGGGGCATCGGATTCACTCTCCAGCCGACTTTCCTAATGGGAAACTACACTCGGTGCTTGCGCGCGGTTCCGGGGATATTTTCGAACAGAGTCCCGAGGAAAGGGAGTGGCCATCTAAAGGCTTTCTCGAGGTGAGGGTGCCCAAGTGTCAGACTCATTTGTTCGGGGGAGTGGGGGAGGGTCACCATCACAGGCCTTGCAGCTGCTCAGCCCGCAGAACTGCTCTAGAACCCACGTCCTGATACCAGGGAAAGGCGCTGTGCAATCTGCAGGTCGCCAGCAGACAAGGTAGAGCGACTAGGGTCCCGCCGCCAGGATGGAGGAGTCTCCGGTTTTATCTCTAACGGGGCTTTTTTTTTTTTTTAAATTGGTAAAAGAACTAGAAAGTTTTACTTATAAAGGAATATATCTGCTAACCTACCACGAAGCCTAATAGGTCCTAAAGGGACTCTTATGTTTCTTGTCCTGAGTCCTGGCCCAATGTGGCTGGCGGGGGCAGGAAAAGAACTGAATTGGGGGGCGTGCAGCCGCGGGGCTCTGACTTCTGTGCGCTTGGAGGCAGCACCGCGCTTGAGACCCACGTAGGAAGCGGGGTGAAGGGACCCTGGAACTTGTGTGAACCCTGGGGCGAGGAGCACCAAGGACGGGCGTGAAGCCCGGGGCGAAGGGCGCAGGCGTCCCGCGCGGGAAAAGGGCGAGCCAGTCCGCTGTAGGCACATTCTACTCGCTGATGCACCAGCTTGGCACCGACGACGATCGCAGGGCGCCAGCCGAACCCCGAAGGTTTGGGGTTCTGGGAGGCACAGCGGGTCTGCGGGCCGGCCATCCGGAGGACTACAGTCTCCAGAGTGCCCCGCGGCGCGGGCGGAACCGGGAGCTCCCGCAGCCAATT